CCTTCACGTTCAGTGGAAGATTTGCAATCGCGTACGTCGATGAGAAACTGGTTCAACTAGTTATATAAATGGAGGTCATATATCAACACTCAAATGTATTAACCATTCTTGATATATGGGAAAAATTTGCACGTCATTTAACTGTCAAATAATGTTTGTCTTATGACACGTTCGGGAGTGAATATGTAGTTGTGAATAAAATGAAACACATGAACGCTGAAACGATAAACATTGCGACGGACGTTGCAACGGTTATTTTAGCGTTAAATTGCTTTGCATAAGGCATAGGGGATGGAGCAGAGGGCATAGGGCAATGAGATCAGTCGCGCAATCTATGTTCACCAAATTTTACATGCACACAATATTGGCAACATTGGTGAACGTTACACCGTGCATCGACTAAAAGAAAACAATTTTATTTGTTTCTTTATTGGTTTATTTGTATGTTGATACCTTTGTACACTTATATGTTTATATATTTGAATGTTTGCATATCTGTATTTGTTTTTATGTTTGTATATTTGTACATTTATGTATTTGTGTATTTGTGTATTTGTGTATTTGCACATTTGCACATTTGTACATTTGTACATTTGTACATTTGTACATTTGTACTTTTGTACATTTGTACTTTTGTACTTTTGTACTTTTGTACTTTTGTACTTTTGTACTTTTGTACTTTTGTACTTTTGTACTTTTGTACATTTATACATTTGTATATTTGTACATTTGTATATCAGTTATTTGCATAATCTAAAAATTTTGAGATGTACAAATATCTAAATTTTGAATTTAAAAATCTACGATTTTAAAATTTTTAATTACAGCAACTTGAAGTTAGCAACCCGAAAATTTAATAAGTTAAAAATTAGTAAATTAGAAGATTGTGAATGTGTAAATTTGATAAGTGTAGAATCTATAAACTTGAAAATTAAAAAACTTTTAAGCTCTAAAAAGTACAATGACAAAGAACAATGTCAAAAACAAACCACGTTTGGGCCATAGTTAGCGAAGTAGGAACATACATTTTCTTAAAGTTTTCGACCTGCCGAATACAATGGTACTGTTAGAATTCTCCGGAAGTCACTGGCAAGCTCAGAAAAGTTTTCTCAAAATTACTGTTCCAATATAGTATCATAAACTCTACACTCCACATACTATACCAGAAAAAATCCGTATATCTATATAATTGAAAATGTCTGAACGTAGGTTAAAATTTATTACTTGTAAGTTTTAAAGAACTCTAGTCACCATTCTAACAATAAATGGCAGCCATATTGAATTGTCATTTCGAATTTTATAATTCTTACTTCATATCCGTAATGAACTACTTCAAAAAACTATTAACAATCATTTTTAAACAGACATAAACGATTTTTTATAAATTTCTTTGATTTAATCAATGTGAGCGTTCTTCGATCATCAAATTTACAACCGCCATATTGAATTCATTTTAAGTGCAATTCTGGCGCCAATTTTATAAAGAGTAACCAGGAAAACGTCATAGCGACTTTTTCAAAGTAATTTTTCATATTTTTGTAGTTTTATTTATGTCTTGTAAGATTATTCGTAATTTTTGTGGGTCTTGTAAAAAATATCGGGTCTTGTAAATGGGTCTTGTAAAATCTTGTAAATTGTAAAAAAGTGTCATTCTTGTAAAAATTGCCTTGAAGTCCAGAAAACTACACGTACTTTCTTGGGAAAAAGCATAAGTTCAAAAGCTAACTAACTTCTTCAAATTTTCTGTTTAATTCTAGTAACACCATTTAGTAGATTAAAACCGACGTACTGTTATTGAAGATAATTTTCCGAGCAGTTAAGGAGACCGGTATAAACATTATAATAAACAAAAAACATAAGAATGTCATAACCTATAATCACATGTTCTTTCGTTAGCAGATTTCACTATGTCGGCTACTAGCTATTTTGATTATTAAAATCATAATGGAAACATATTGTTTTCATTTTGTCTACTGTATGAAAACATGTAGTTCAAATGAAAAGAAAGTTTATTATCCGATAATATAAATAGCAAGAATGTACTTTCTAAAATTAAATCAGCGAAAATTTCACTTATTTGCTCGGTGAACCAGTTTTTCAATAGTTTTCTGTGACTTTGTTAAATTAGTGAATTTTTTGTTGAATTAACAAAAGTAGTATTGTACTAATAATGAACTAGTAATGTATTAGTAATGTACTAATAATGTACTAGTAATGAAGTAGTAAGTTACCTGTCGCGCCTCCGAAAAGTTACTAGACAGTAAGTTGACAAAATTGCAAGGAGTCTTAATGGAGTCTTAATTTGATTAGTCAACGTAAGCAAATCAACGCGTATATTGAATAATGAATTAATATAATTATTAATACAATATTGAATATTAAATATAACATAATTACTAATAACAATTTAATAACAATTTACAACTGTGGGAAAGTTAAATAAAAATTTCAAAAAGAAGTTTAAAAGAATTAATTTAATACTAATAAATAACTTATCAAATTAATTACATATACTTTTAGAATAAGGTTATTAAGTAAAACATTCAATTTTTTGACGAACCATACTTTTTCAAGCGATGATGCAAGATTATGCAACTGAGGTTATGCTTTGCTATTGCATAAATCAATGAAATTATAATATTACTAGTTCATTATTTAATTAATATGTACAAGAATGTAAATTATTGTATCATCATGTAACTATGTATTATATGATCACCAATAACCTTACTGTTAGCACAACCATTACAAACAAATAATAAAAAAGTTAGTGAAAAGGTATAATTTAAAAGTTAAACAATACTGATTAATGATTGAAGTTGATTGGTTCCGCTGATCAAGGCAGCTTTTACAAATCAAATCAGTAATTAATTTATTTCACTCAATTACTAACTATTCAGTTTTGCTGTGGTCCTATAATTTACTGAAACAATGAGTATTCACTCATGATTTGTTGATTTTCAGATATTTAGATGTAGATAGGAGAATAGCGTAGGCATCTATTATGTACTGATGCGATGAGACAGTTACGGAAGACAAAATCAACATTCGTGAGATTATAGTAACGCATCCGTTGCGACGTCCGCCATTTTAACGCACAATTGGAATCACACGAGGCGTTAAAACGTTTGTCGGCTGAAATCTTTGCATGTATGCTACATAATCTTCAAATGTTATCTACAGGTATTGTTAGAGAAGGTTTTTTAACCTTAAACTCTTTGATCTAAAACAGTTCGCTTCTATTTTGTTTATATAAAACTACCAAGCCGGTCAAATGACCGCTCCACAAGTTTCTTATTAAAAGGTATACATTTTGTTGAAGTACATTTCTTGAAATCAGAATTGATTTTCATCAAGATAAAGAATAAATGTGTGTACTAATTTATGTTTCATCGTTTGTTTATTTAATTTTTAACTTTATTTTTAATTTCAAATTAAGTACGCATTGTATGCCGGTAGGTTTAGTGTTAAACAAAATGTCTGAAAATTAATCTTTTAACTAAAGTTTTGTCTTTACATCTCTTAAAAGCGAAATCGAAAAAGATTAAATAAAACGCATTTCTAGTTTTTTAAGTAATCATAAGTAAACTATTGTAACAACTTTTTTAAATATATTAAATAAAGTTTCAACTATCATTTCTTACTGTTTAAATAATCTAAGTAAAGAACGCTTTAAATTCATCTATACAAAAATATATGACAAAAATATAATATACAAAGATTATACTTTAAATTAAAAAAATGAAGTTTAGACAAAATTGAAATATTTAATGAAAATTGTGAAATGATCCTTAAAGCTGTTAAAATGTAAAAAAACTACGTTCTCTGTAAGCGTCTATTTTATTTTGTTACACGTGTACTGCACGCAATTTTCTTCGATACTTCCTTTATTCTTCAGATAAAGTGCTTGAAAATACAAGATTTAAGTGATACCTGTGCAGAAAAAGGAATATTGTGTCACATATTGCTCTACCAAGTTTAAAATAGTGCACTGTGAAAACATAGAAGAACAACTCTCTCGACGATTCTTCATTTCCAATACAAAGTTTAACAGGTACAATCAACTCGAATCGACGTCCGTCGCAACGTCCGTTATTTCAACACTCGTATAACCTTTGTTTTAGACTTTAATATCTCACCCTTTGACAATGAAGTCAGCGTTTGAAATGATGTTCATCGAACGAAATTTTTGCATGCTGTATGATATTCGCGTTTAGTTTACATGTACATCCGAAGCAACGTCCGTTGTAACGTACGTCATTTCATTGTTGGGACTTCAATCTAAAAGGTTACAATTTAAAATAACGTTCCTTAAAATGTATTCTTGCATTTTGTTTAATATTCGCGTTATGTTAATTTGAATCGACGTACGTTACAACGTCCGTTACTTCAGTATACGACACCAAGTTAAAACTCAAGTTACACAAGTATTTAAAATAACATCCTTCAAATCTATTCGAATATTCTCTACGTAATTTGTATATGAATCTGCATACGTCAATTCGAATCGACGTCCGTTGTAACGTCCGTTATATTAACTCATGTGATTTCAGTCTAAAACTCGAATTATACATAAGTTTAAAATAACATCCGTCACTTCTATCCGTACATTCTCTTTGACATTCCTATGTGTATGTAGATACGTCAATTCGGATCAACGTCCGTCACAACGTCAGTTATTTTAACACTTATACGACTCCAGTCTAAAACTCGAATTGTATAAATGTTCAAAGTGACATCCTTCAAATCTATTCGTATATTCTCTGTGTAATTTGTATATGTATGTGCATACGTCAATTCAAATCGACGTCCGTTGTAACGTCCGTTATATTAACACTTATACGACTCCAGTCTAAAACTCGAATTATACATAAGTTTAAAATAACATCCGTCACTTCTATCCGTACATTCTCTTTGACATTCCTATGTGTATGTAGATACGTCAATTCGGATCAACGTCCGTCACAACGTCAGTTATTTTAACACTTATACGACTCCAGTCTAAAACTCGAATTATACATAAGTTTAAAATAACATCCGTCACTTCTATCCGTACATTCTCTTTGACATTCCTATGTGTATGTAGATACGTCAATTCGGATCAACGTTCGTCACAACGTCAGTTATTTTAATACTTACACGACTCCAGTCTAAAACTCGAATTGTATAAATGTTTAAAGTAACATCCTTCAAATCTACCGTATATTCTCTGACATTCATATGTGTATGTACATACGTCAATTCGAATCGACGTCCGTCATTTTACGCGACCCCAGTTCAAAACGTCCATTCGCTTGTCATGTCATTATTATCCCGTTAAATTTCGCGGTAAAGTATGTAACATATTCACGTGAAGGTTTAATAATGTTAGTTCCGCCACTTTTGAAACAGGCAGTATAGGAAACGAAAAAAGGAACTCTTCCAACGATCATAAAGGGGATAGACACAAAAGTGTGCGGACAGAGGCAGACCAAAGGAAGAGACGCGATCGTGGTAGTATGCTATCCGCTTTAACGACGAGTTTCAGAGGCTTTCTCCTCCTTCTTCTCCTCCTTCTTTTCCACCTCTAGCTTCTTCGTCGTACTGCCTCTATCTCCACCTCCGCCTTTTGCTTTTGCCTCATCTTCGCTGCCACCTCTTCGAGGTCTTTTCGAATTTTTCACTCGTCACTCCCTCCAAACCGGTGTTCCCCCTACTTCTTCCTTTCTTGCTCGGTATACGAGGCTGTTTTCCTCGCTGTTTCTCTGTCCTGTGGCTACGTCCTCTCGCTTCTTCGGCTTCTTATCCGCCCGGTGCCTCCTTCAAGTTTATTCCTGCTGGTGATTATGAAAATGGTCTGAGAGATGGATTAGATCGTACGCAGAGTGACCATTTATTTTCGCGGTAAATTCGATAAAAAAAAAAGTAATGATTAGTTATAAGAAACTTTTAATCGTCTATGCTTTAGTGCAAGTCGAAATGGATACGATAATTTGAAATTGTGACGTAAGAGTTTTTGTAAATATCAAACGTAACGTATACTTATCGTCAACCTTAGGAATATGTAGACGCGGTTCATTGAAAGTAAAGTGCAAGCCGAGCGACGGTTATATGGATAGGAACAAAATTGCTGAGAATTTTCACCTTGATAGGACATTTCAAGGTCATTGGAATCAATAAGGTGAACTTTCATTTACATAATTACCAGATAAATGACTTTTAACAATTTTAAACAAAATTTGACTAAAGGTTAATTTTAATCAAAATTTGACTAATAACGCACGTTCAACAAAATTTTATGAACATTTTTACTAAAATTTAACTTAACATTTGACAGAGTTTAACGCTGGTTAATATTAAATATATAATGTTTATTAATATGGAAGGATGTTACTATAAATTAATAGATATAAATTGAAGACATGGTAGCCGAATACAGCAAGAAGAAGGAATTAAACAAAAGACAACGCATATTACATTTCTACCAACTTATACATTCGGTAGCCTAGACAGATTATACTACCAACAACATTTCATTCTAAACAAAATTGAATGTAACAACTAAGAAATGAAATAAAAAAATAAGGAACAAACATTTTAGCTATACATTTGTATAAATTTAACACCTCATAGATAATCTGTGTTATAGGAGTTCGTGTAAAGCTATATAATTTTCTATTCACAATTTTTTTCTAAAAAATTAAAAATGAGATATAGTTATTTTAGGAACACCCTATATAACAAACTGACTTTCCACCGTAAAATGAAACAATGTCCGCGTTGAAAGTCAGCCTTGCACGGTTTTTCAATGATTCCATGGTTCAGGAATGTCTGAATCGTGCGTGTCATTCCACGGAAGTGGAAGTACGGTAATTACAAGGGGTCAGTGATTACGATAGTTTCCACCTAATGCTTTGTTGTTCCTTATAATCAGGAGTTCGAATTATCGTCAAATTTCAAACACGCCTCGGCAATAAATAATCTGGAAATACCGCTCGCGTGACTCCCTTTCGGCTTTTTTTTTCAAATCTACCGCTTTCAAACCACAAAGTCTCATTAATATACTGTGTGTAACAAAATTTGTTTGTATATGCCCTAAAATACAGAAAAACGAGCTTAAATACGCAATAGAGCAAATTTCTTTACTTTAGGTCTCAGTTTTCGAGATAAAATAGAAGTGAAGGGTAAAGATTTTGATTTTGATCTAGAATCTTAGAGTACTATCATAAAATGTCAGAATCAAGCTTCAAACAATGTTCATTTCATTAAATTATATGTATATTATTAATTGAAAATACTACAGTTATTATGGTTGTTGTTGTATACGAGGTGTGACACAAAAGTAACGAGACTAGGTGTGCAGCTTGAAGAAACAATGGAACTGGCAGCAATTGTTTTTGTGGCATCATCCCACATACCTCCTCTATCCATGTTACCAATTTCGATTGAATCGGTTATACCATTTGGAAGTATTGCGTTATTTAGTGAACACGTGCAACTGCATTCTGCCGGAAAAATGTCTAACGTAAAAACCCAACAGCGAATAAACATCAAGTTTCTTGTAAAATTTGTTAAAATCTGTTGTAACATGTGATGAGACATGGATTTTTACCTATGACCCAGAAAGTAAGCGCCAGTCAATGGAGTGGAAGTCTCCAGGATCCAACCCAAAAAAGCACGCATGTCAAAATCAAAATTCGACATTAATGGAATTGTAATGATTGAGTGGTTTCCCAGTGGTCAGACTGTTAACTAACACTATTACATTGAACTACTAAAAAGACTTCGTGAAAAAATTAGGAAGAAAAGGCCACAGTTGTGAAGCGATGGATGGCTGTTGCACCAGGACAATGCACCCGCTCATACGGCACTGTCTGCCAAGCAGTTTCTGACCAATAAAAATATTACTGTGATGGGGCATCCTTATTCACCTGATTTGGCTCCATGCGGCATTTTTTAATTTCCTAAAATTAAATTTTGCTTAATGGGAACCCATTTCACCTCAGTTAAAGAGGTTCAGACAGAAACGGAGAATCTCCTGAAGGGACTTCCTAAAACCTCGTTCCAGAACTGTTACCAGCAATGGCAGTACCGAATGCAAAAGTGTGTGAATGCTGAAGGGGACTACTTTGAAGGTGATAATGTCACGGAGAACTGATTCTGCAGGTACAATAATTTATTGAACTAGTCTCGTGACTTTTGTGTCACACCTCGTATATTATAACTAAACGATTTTGATAAATTTAAATAGATGGCTCGTTAATAGTAAATATATGATGTGTATTTATACTGCTCATCAAAACTACGCATTTGTATAGCCAATCATCCAGAACTTGAGCGTTGGTCATCACTTATCTTACAAAATGCGATCAAGGATATTTGAAAACTTAATCACTGATCATGAACTGTGAACGTTTATATGTAAAATATTTATGTATCAATATCTATGTATATATGTATCGACATATGATCAATAATCACATTTTGAAATACCTGTGATCACATTTTGTAAGGTAAGTGATGAACGTTTAAGTTTCAGAAGTCGTGCAACTGAAATGCGCAGTTGAGATGCGCAGTTGAGATGCGTAGTATAAATGCGCAGGTGCGTAATACAAATGCGAAGTACGCGATATTCATTATGTATGTCACTACAACTCAATTTAACAACAGTGAGCACTCATATAATACTCAGATTTTGGAAAATTTCTTCAGTTTAGTTATATAATAAAAATATTGAAATAGTAGCTTCTAGCAGAATTAATTTTCGTAAACTATAAATGGAATCAGACAACGAAATTCAGTTTCTCGTATAAGATTGTAACTGTAACATTGCAGTGACTATGTTTCTCTAAATATATACATTATGTATTATTATTCATTGTTTCTTTTATTGTGCAGAATATTTACTTGCAATAAACTATGCCTTAGAAATAAGTAAATTATGAAACAATCAATTGTAGAACGTTCAAAAAATCTTGCAAATTACAAAATGAAGATTATAGTACTTAAAAAATGCAGTTCAGTTAGTAAACAATAAAGAAATGTTATTGATTGATCAATAAATAAATGTTATTGATTTGAGAAATGGAATCAGTTTGAATATAATAGAATGAACTTAAAAATTGGTTGATTAATTTTTGCTAAAATATTTAGACGATAAATTTTGAATTTATTACAATTTAGGTGATAAAATCATAAAATGGTAAAATGATAAAGTAGCAAAATGGTAATTTGATAATATGACAAAATAGTAAAATGGTAAAATGGTAAATACAATTGTTATTCGAAACTGAAACCAACTAGTTATTGCAAGAATTGCCATCTTTTGAAACCGATTTCAAAAAGTGACGGTACAATATCTAAGTAAGTATTCAAATGTAAAAGTACTCAAATGTATTCAATCACTTAGAGACAATTTAAGTGTGTACCCAAGTACATATTCGGATATATTCAAATTCTCGAATTTCAATTGAAGAGATGTTCAATTATACTCAAACTGTTATCTTGTATATCTGACAACGAGTAATAGAACAGTGAGTAATGAATAACAGTAAAAATGCGTACAAAACATCAGTGCTATAATTTCATTTCTAGAAACACCTCTTTTACTTTCTTCCCACAAGAAATCAAATTCAATAAAAGACCTAAACTTAAATATTTTCACCGTTCTGCTTCCCGAATATCTGAATCAAATTCAGCATTTTAACCCGTCAGCTGCAACGTCACATATACGTCATATGTGACATCTTCGATTTTCCATACGTTCTCATAATTAATCCTCCCATACTCTTCAAAATAGATAGAAACCCAATTCCACCATCAAACGTCAAGAATAGCGTAATATAAACCGCAATGGCTTAAAATTATATAACTTCATCGTAAATTATTTTATAACACAGAAAGTTCACTAAGTGGTTTATGATTGAAAACGAGTTTCCAATTAAACGTCTACAAAGAACGCGTCGAATACAATGTGAGAAAATACACAGCTTTTTTCCTCGATTCTCCACCGAGCTGCGCATCAACCTTGCGACGGATTTCACAAAACCAAGTGCCCGTGTGGCAAGAAAATATCGCATTAAAATAAAATTCATCGATCGTATCGCATGCCACAAGAAGATTCAAGTGGTTTTTCGAAATTCACGTTTCGTAATTCTTTGAGAGTTTGCAGACCGTGTCTGCGCGGTGGGAAATTCGCAAACGTTCTTTCGCGTTCGCTCGCGGGTACACGAGTTTTCGTGTACATCAAAAAACTCTCTTTTTCCCATCGCATTTTCACGTCTAGACGTGCCTCCACTTACAATAGTCGCCGACAGTCATCGCCGGAGCCGCGGCACAATTTACTTTTAATTCTCATCAACGTGCGCTTCGTGTACAGTCAGCGGCAAATCTGGTTGCCTTATGGAAAATATGATAACCGTGTGGGAAGACACCTTTCATTCGGTTTCCAGGGATTTGAGAATTTGGGAGCCTACAAATTTAGGGGGTCTGAATTTGTTTCGGTAGGAATTTGCTGAGCTAGGGATTTGAGGTTTAGAATAGGGATTTGATTTAGGGATTTGGGGATTTAGCAATTTGGGCATATAGATATTTGCTAGTATTGGAATTTAATAATATTGGAATTTGGGGAAGTAGATATTTGCTGATCTAAGAATTTGGGGGTTTAGAAATTCGTGGACATCGGAAGTTGTTGACTTAGAGATTTGGGAATTTAGAAATTTGGGAATACAGATATTTGGTAATATTGGAATTTAATAACATTGGAGTTTGGGAACGTAGATATTTGCTGATCCATGGACTTGGGAGTTTAGAAATTTGTGGATATCGGAAGTTGTTGACTTAGAGATTTGGGAATTTAGAAATTTGAGCATATAGATATTTGTTAGTATTGTGATTTAATAACATTGAAATTTGGGAAAATAAATATTTACTGATCCAGGGATTTAGGGGTTCAGAATTTTGACGACATAGGAAGTTGTATATTTAGAGAATTGGGGATTTAGAAATTTAGGAATATAAATATTTGGTGGTATTGGAATTTAATAACATTGAAATTCCGAAACTTAGATATTTGATAATTTTGGTATTGAGAAAGCGTGAAAGTTCGGGATATCGCAATTTGCTAATACAGAGATTTGGGGATTTAGAAATTTTTGAATATAGGTATTTGATAGTTTAGGAATTTGCTAGCCTACAAATTTCGGGTTATAGGAATTTGCTAAGCTAGTGTTTAGGGATTTGGAAATTTGAGATCTTTGGAATTTGGAAACACAGATATTTGCTGATCTAAAGATTTGGGGATTTAGAAATTTGAGGACATCGGAATTTGTAGATTTAGAGATTTGGAAGTTTAAAAATTTGGTGACATCGAAATTTGGTAATTTCAAGATATTATAACATGGGAATTTGGTAACGTAGATATTTGGTGATTAAAACATTGGGAAAGCTTGTAAGCTCGTGGTATTGCAATTTGTTAATATAAAAATTTAAGAATGTAGGTATTTAATAGTCTAGGAATTTGGAGTATTTGAAATTTTGGATCATAGAAATTTGCTAAACTGGAGATTTG